TCCATAATATATGAATAAATCTGTTTATTATCTCGAGCCTTGAAATGACCATTGGGAGTTCTCAGTCTTGAAGTCCGAGCCGATGTCCTATATGAATTGAGTCGACAAAGCCAAGGCATAGTCTGGCGAAGGTAGCGATCACGCAATCCTACAATCTCAAACTCAACTTCTACGAGTCTGGTTACAGGTTGAAGCAAAAAACAATGGAGAAGAATGACAATAACGCGTTCCTGAATCCCAGAATCTTCAACGAGCTTCTAGCAGGGAGTGTCGGGGGTGCGGCTCAGGTGCTGGTCGGTCAGCCATTGGACACCATCAAAACACGAGCACAGATTGCTTCTGGTTCGTTCTTATTGTTTATTTTTGCCTTTATATCATGTTTACTAACGCGGTTATCCCTTAGAGGGCATGTTTGTAAGTGTGACATATCCCAGGTCGTGGCCCAATATAGATGAAACCGTATGTCATAGAAAGGGCCTATGGATGTCCTAATCCAGACTGTGCGCAAGGAGGGATTCTTGGGACTCTATAAAGGTACGATTTACAGTGCATTTTGGGCATGACTGATCCCAAGTTTGTGCCACGCAGGAATGGCCAGTCCACTGATGGGAATTGCCGCTGTAAATTCGCTACTCTTCACCGCCTACAACGTTTCGAAGCGTGTAATTAGTCCATTCCCGGACCTATCTCTGAAACAGATCGCATTGGCAGGATCTATGGCAGGGGCCGCAAATGCTATACTAGCAAGTCCAGGTTAGTCCTTGCCCACTTATCATGAACCCGTTGGACAGCTCTCTGAAGTTTGCCACCACCATGAAATTCAATCCTCATAATTATTCAACATAAAGTGGAGTTGTTCAAGATTAGGATGCAAGGCCAATATGGAAGTGCTACCGACAGACGGTTATCTCGCGTCTTTTGGGATACTTGGGCCGCACATGGCTTCCGGAAAGGCGTCATGAGGGGCTATTGGGTCACGCTTGCCCGTGAAATTCCAGCTTATGGAGCGTTCGTATCTCTTCCTTTACCTTTCCGAACGGCATGTTTCGTGCTCACCTATCATATAGGTTCTATTCGGCCTTTGAATTCGGAAAGCGTAGCTTCCAGAAGAAATATGGGAAGGATATTCCAGTATGGGCCCTCCTTTCATCAGGCTCGCTAGGTGGTGTACGTGAATCAGCATCTCTCAGCCCCTGCTCTCAACTTTGACCAAACAGATTTCCTATTGGCTGGCATGTTACCCGCTAGGTGGGCCGCTTAATTCCTTACAAAAAAGCATATCTAATTGTGTGACCTTTCCACAAAGACGTTGTGAAGAGTCGTGTGCAACTCAGTGACAAACCACTAAGATTTTTCTACATCTCCGATGAAATCCGGGCAGCGT